ACCAACCTTTTTTTGGAGATATTACCATTCCAAATTTCTTTCGCTTTAAGTGATTTTAATTTAATTCCACTGCTTAGATGTCATTTCAAACATTAATCAATTCTTCCCACCAGTGGATTTATGTCAAATATCTGGTATGCTGCAACAATGTTAATTAGCCGATGCCCATCATATATCTATATAATAAAATAGTTTATAATTCAAATTTAAAAAATAAACAAAATGAATTTTATTATTAGCGATTAAGATCTCTTTAAATTTTACTTTAAAATTAATCTAACGATTAATATAACATTTATTAATTTAATAAGAAAAATAGACCCTTAAGGGTGTGTTTAGAGTGACTTTTTAAAAATACTTTTAAAAATTATTTTTTATAAATACTTAAAAAAAAATACTGTTTGAAAATCGCCTCACCACTACCTCTATCTCTACCACTCCCACCACCAACACACACCACCACCACCTCACTGTCGTCGTTGCCACCACCACGATCGTCATCGTCATCGCCACTGCCACCGCCACCACTTCAACCGTCGCCGCCCGCCACCACCACCACCATTGTCGCCGCAGTCACCACCATCGTCGCCGCTCTCGCCACCACAGTCATTGCCACCCATCACAACTATCATAGTCTCCTACCACCACCAATGCCGCCCACCACCTCTCACCTCCATTACAAACCGATGTTTAAATTCTTTTATCTTTTCTATATGTTTGTAATTTGATTTTAGATATGCATATAAATATATTTATTGTTTACCATTTATTATTACTCTGTGCCTTCAAGCACATATAATAACTAGTTTCATATAAAAGTTGAAACTTAGGACATATGCAAGATATAAAACTCATTCAAAATAAGTAATACTCAATTTTATCCCGTTTTCAAAAGACTGAATTTCAAATACCGAAATTTGAAATAATGGAAAGAAAACATTTTTAGGACATTGTAAACAAATCATTTGACAAATTTGCATACATCTTTCATATTAGCGGCAAATTTTGTATTGTGTAGTACAAGAATCCAAACATTATGAAAGTATACAGCTAGAATTGGAATTGGCCTCTAGAATGTATTTTGTTAGTTGAAGTAAAATAATGCAAGCATATATGAAATTATAACTTAGCCATAAAAATAAAAGATCGTACTTAATGGAACAGATTCCCTTCTGTAACGGGGTTCGAAAGAGATAGTGATAAACCCCCTTAACTTATTCCGAAGAAGCCGAATGAATGATAACCTCTAAACTGCTCATAAAAGATTATATATTGGAATTGACTCTAAAGAAATTTAAAATCTTCCTCTTTTAACTTCCAGTTACCAGAACAAATAAAACATAATCTCAACGACACAACACACTTACATTTTAAAGTTTTCAGACCCATCACTGTGGTGAGTCTTGACTTCCTTTTTCCTCATTTTATGCAGTTGAAGTCGAAAGCATTGACAAGCCAAGGGGTGAGAGAAAATCAATCTCCCAGGTTTTGTGATTACTTTGAAAGTGGACTAACTATTACTTATCTAACAAACATACCTTAAATCTTGTATTACTTGTAAATTAATTATACAGGAGTGTACTTAAAGTCACATGGCTTCAAATAGTCCAACAATAATGATTTGTTTAATTAAACTCTAGATTGCCCAAAAGGAGTCTAATATTCCTGTTGTCTTTTTCAAGTAAAGCTAATTGATAATTGATTAGGTGAGTCATTTTGATATCTAAACCACCCATGATTAGTTTGTCACTGTCTTGTCTGTCGTCGGTTCACTACGACCCCCCATTACTCTTTAGAAATTCATTTGACATTGAGATAATCACAAAGTCTTCTATCTAAACTATACTAATAAATACATCTTTCTAAATTGACCAACCTTAACTTTGTTTTCAGATACCGTATCACTACAATAACAGAGCTCAAAAGTCTGATTTGTTAGAACCAAACTTGCACAAACACTGAAGCATCCAAGAAAACATATTGTTGTGCATGTTTTTTTTATTTATCATAAGTGATCTTTGGAAACCATCATTCTTTAATAAACCATAATGGCCTACAAAATGCTTTGCAGCAGCTTTTGTTTGTGTTTCAAGCTGCCAATGAATATGTACTTTTACCATGCCTACAGATCCAAAACAAAAGGATGATTTCAATAAAATAATTCAATCAACATGAAAATACATTGCAACAACTCCATGTCCATAATTTAGAGGGGATAATTCACAAGATTAACAGCATCGACACATTTTGACAGAGCTCCAGCAATAATTGTCACGAATTCACGCTCGTGTTCTGAAGGACTTAAAACAACTTCCGAACATGTTCAATTATATGAACAGTACAATTGATTCACTTTGGATTAAGCTCTTGATTAACGATAGTATACAAATATAGTTAATTCTTCAAACGTGAAACAAATAGAGTGGTACAATGGAATTGTGGACACAGAAAATGAAATGATTGATTTTATTTTTTTCCATCCATTACTTGAATGAAAATATAGAAAAAAACTGTCTCAGAATCTGAGAAATTTGGAGCTATTCATTTATTTCAGTCCCAAGAAAAACAACTGGCCTAAGCTTTGGCTGATTGAAAGACAGACTTGAGCTACCAATATGCCAAACACCAAAAAAATCAATGTCTGCCAATTGGGCAGGCGGGACATACAAAGAGGAGAAGATTGTGGAGGAACAAGAAACGAAAATGCATTGCAAGCAAAGAGGTATATATATCTAGTCTGATAGACAGAGAGAGACCGAATGGGACGGGTATCCTATAGAAAATCTGTTAGATTGTATATATGTACATAGTTTGCAGAAATTATGAGGCGATGCTGTCCTTTTCTATGATATAATCATGTTTCATTGCATAGATACTTTCGTCCACAGTTTCAATTGAAAGTCTCTCCCTTGGAGATTTTGCTTGCTCAAGTCTTTCCTGATCAGGTAATCTCTTTCACTGACAAATGGTAATAGAAGGATTGCTTGGTATATTTCTTTCTGTTCTTCTTTCTTCTACTCCTCTTCCTCATCCTCCTTCCATGAGTAATTTGGAGCATTGTGTCTGTTTGTGTGCGCCTATTTCTGTGTGGAGAGAGAGAGAGAGAGAAAACAACTTGACCATATATATATATATATATATCTGAAGTGCAAACAATCAGAGTTTTGTAACTTAGCTTACTGAAATCAGCAAAAAGGCAGGAAAAATAAAATGCTAGAAACAATGGTGTCTGTTTTGCAGATTTCTCTAGTCCATTCCTTTTGTGATTGTTTCTGTTCTATGACAGTTTGTTATCAAATCATTCACTTAACATAAGTTTCTGTTTTTCTTTGATCTGACTTCGAAAAATTAGTCACAAGCAAACGGCCTATCGAAATTGACATATATTTTGAGACATTGATGGAATTGTTTTAAGAAAGTTTCATAGTATTTACTAAGTTGCATTCAGAATTATGTAAAGGTCCCCCCCCCAAAAAAAAAAAAAAAACCACCTTTTTCAACAAGTACCCACTAAAAATTATTCAAAGGGTTTACCCCTATTATATATATATATATATATATAGGTGTTCAAGTTTGTCAACCTTTTTTGGTGAGTCCTATAATCTATAAATCTTTGTCTCAGGCTAGATTCTATCATCTGTCATTCTTCTTAATTCAATCTATGCTGCAAAACAAAGGCAACCATATATTAAATTAATACACAAAGACTTGTCTTTTGCTAAATCATAGGCCTCCCCCCCCCCCCCAAAATTTCCTTGTAGATAATTTAGATCTAATCAATGACTTAGCCCTTGACCCCCCCCCCCCCCAAAAAAAAAAAATTATAATTTTTTTTTGATATTTCATGCTTTTCTTGTTTGCTGCTTGTTGATATTTTTTGTTTAATCAATACCTTTGATTCGAAGGTAATTTTAGTTACATAATGTTAACTTGACAATAATGAGATTATTAAATTATAAGGGGTAATTTAAGTGATAATAGAGACAAATTGTAAACTCAGATAACCTAAATTTAAATATTGACAATTCCTTAGGGTTATAAAGGGATTAGTTGAGGCGTGCGTAAGTTAGTCTAGAGACACCTAACTATTGAACAAAAAAAAAAATAATGAAATTACAATAACCTATGTTTTAGAGAGATTCTTTGTGACATAAAAAAAAAAAAAACTCAAAAAATTAATGTGGGTAAGAATGATTTTTGTTTGTTTTTTTTTTTAACGGCGATCTTTGTTTTGAAAACTTGCCCAACGTTGTTGGTATTGGCATTTGTAACCCTTTATCGTGTTTTTTTTTTTACCCTTTATAATGGGCATAGAAATTCACAGTTTTTTGACGGGTAATAAATGACCCGGACTGTGACCCGAGAAAAGGTACACGTAGGGCCGGGTGAAGTTGGGACACCCCCATCAATCCCTATTAGTTTCACCAAGGACAAAGTCACAGGGCCATAGAGTATTAAAAATTTAAAATACAAAATACTGTTATCAAAAAAGTTTAAAAAATAAATATGAACAATACCTTCAAATTATCGTATTAAAAATTTAAAATCCAAAACACTGTTATAAAAAAAATTTTAAAAATAAAATATAAGCAGAAGACCCTTTTTTTAACTCAACGATATTTGGACCAATTTATATATATTTTAATTAATTTTTTCCCTAAATTGATTAAAAATAGATTATTCAAATCGAAACAAAAATATTCATGATTAATAAGTTGGAATTAAGGTATTTTTTATGTATAAACAAGACCTTCAAATTATAGTATTAAAGAGTAATTAAGCCTTAAGTATTGTGATTTGCTTAGCGTAACGTCTCTCCAACTTCACAAACCCCCAAAACCCACACAAACCCAACCTCCAGGTGGACCAACACTATATGCTATTCATCCCAAATCTCACCCTTCAACAACCCTCTGTCTCTCTCTCTCTGTCTCTCTCAGGCCTCTCCATTCTGGCCGGAAAGAAATCATCACTTCTTTGTGATTCTCTGCCTAACTATCATTATCTATACATGTAATTTTTTATGAAAATGTGGCTTCCTTCAGGAACACCCGTTATGGGTATTTGAGTTATTCTGGAATTTCTTGATCTTTTTGCAGGTTTTGTGCAATGAGAAGCCTAATGGGTTTTCTGGGTAACTCTATTTTGTTGTGATGCACAATGTGAGAGGTGAGTAAGTCTTCAATCTTGCGTGCGTGTGTGTGTGTGTGTGTGTGATGATGGTCGCTGCTGTTTCTGAAACAGCTACAACCACAAACCCAACACAAAATCCACGAAATCCCAAAACCTCCTCGCATGACGAGTCCCAAAACAACCCAAGAAGACCCCCATTGTTACCCTCTGAGAAAGACAACAATGGAATTAACCCCAAAAGACCCAAATCAAGACAAGTCTCTTCAAGATACATGTCCCCTTCGCCTTCTACTTCGAGTTCCTCAGTCTCTTCATCGTCTACCACTTCCAGAAGATTCCCATCTCCTCTAGTTTCAAGAAATTCGACGCCGGCGTCTAATACACCGGCTTTGGGGCCTAAACGGTCTGTATCCGTGGACCGGAGGCGTCCCGTGGCCTCTAGACCACTTACACCAGATCTTCATTCGAAACCCGGTAATGATGGTGAAATGTCAGCTGCTACAAAGCTGCTGGTCACTTCTACTAGGAGTTTGTCGGTTTCGTTTCAAGGAGAGGCGTTTTCTCTTCCAATTAGTAAGACTAAGGCGGCTCCACCTTCACCAAATTTGAGTAGTGTGAGGAAGGGTACGCCAGAGAGGAGTAGGAGGGGTAGTACCCCATTGAGAGGGAAGGTTGAGAAAGAAGGAGATCAGGTGGAGAATTCGAAGCCAACTGATCAGCATCTTTGGCCGGGTAGGACCCGGCAATCTAATCCATTATCTAGAAGTTTAGATTGTTCTGGTCAGAGGAGTAAGCTCATTGGATCTGGGGATGTTGTCCGGGTGTTGCAGCGATCTATGATTGATGAGAGTAGGAGGGTGTCCTTTGATGGTAGATTGAGTCTTGATTTGGGCAATGCTGACTTGTTCAAGGCAATTCAACAAGCCCGGGATGGGAATTCTGTTCTTGAGTCATCAGTGCAGTCTGATGTCACTGCATCAGATACAGAGAGTGTTTCTTCTGGTAGTACTTCGGGAGTGCAAGAAAGTGGTGGAGTTTCTCGTGAGCGAAGTGGGCCTCGTGGAATCATTGTTTCAGCTAGGTTTTGGCAGGAAACAAATAGTCGGTTGAGGAGGTTGCAGGATCCAGGTTCACCGTTATCCACAAGTCCAGGGTCAAAAATAGTGGTTCCTCCAAAGCTAAAAAAGTTCCCAACTGATAGCCTACTAGCATCGCCTCGAACAATGTCATCACCTATTCGGGGAGGTGTTAGGCCTGCATCACCAAGCAAGCTTATGTCATCCTCTCCATCGAGGGGAATGCTTAGTCCATCTCGGGTCAGAACTACAGTTGCTAGCACCATTAGTAGTAACATTAGTGAGACACCTTCAGTTCTTAGTTTTGCTGTGGATGTTCGGAGGGGGAAGGTTGGGGAGAATCGTATTGTTGATGCACATCTGTTGAGGCTTTTGTATAATCGACATTTGCAATGGCGCTTTGTAAATGCTAGGACAGAAGCAACTTTGTTGGTGCAGAAACACAGTGCGGAGGTAAAATATTTGAATTGTTTCCCACTCGGTTTAAGTTTCTCATTCTTGAATTATTCTACGGTCATGTGGATGTGACTTTTGCTTGATTATAGTTAGTAGCATGAGACAAATTTATTGTCGCATTGAAAGTTATGGAAACATAAGAGAAAATTTTAGGAATAGTTAGTTTTGCATTTTCCACGGAACTTGTCATCTCATATTCTTCTACACCCATTAAATTGTCATTTGCCAATGCCCTTTGAGTCTTCTACGGTCAAATGTGAGAGGTAGATATGTCCAGGAAGTTGTTTGGTGTTTTTTTTTTGTGTTTGGGGGGGGGGGGACTTATGGTAGTTTGGGATATTTAAAACTGACATCATTTGTTTTGGTTTTTTTTGGGGGGTCACCATCCAAGATCCACCAGTCTCTAATATTGATTCTTAAGCACCCCAGACCCTTACAAAAGTGTATTATAAACGGTGAAGATGAGAATACTGCTTTTTGTATAACTACATTGAGACCAAGACGTTCAAGCAAACTAGCATACTTAACATTTTCAATGTGAACAATTAAACTATTCATTTGAAGCCTGTAAAAGGCCCACATACTGCTATGTGGATGAAATGATTACCAGCATTGGTATGATACAACTTCTTGTGGCTTCCCCAACTTCTTTCCCAAATTAGATATGCATAGGCTCTTCTAAGTATAGACTTGTGAATATGTTTGAATTTGCTTAGTTTGACAGGAGCTGTGTCTGGTCAGACTATTTATTCTTAAGCCAAGCCAACCTTGAATCCAGTACTTGGCTGGCTCGGCTAAGCTCTTTCACACCTCATAGTCAAATCCTGAATTTCTTCTGTTACTACTCTGTTGACAAACTTCCTGAACAACATGTTTCCAACTTTGCATATATGTGGCGATACTTGCATATTTGACTAGGTTAGGACATTGTTTTCAACTCTGTAACTTGCTTATACTTCCCAGACAAATTTGGTCATATGGGATAGCTTTCCTCTGTTTATTTTGTCTTTTCAATAGGCTATGGAATATTTTTTTGCATGCCATGTTTATAGTTATTTGTTACCAAACTGGTCAGCATAAAAGTGCTATTTACCTTAGCGATTTATGAGCAATAGTATTGTCTTTTTTTTACCAGAAATATCTGTGGAATGCATGGATAACAATCTCAGATCTACGTGATATGGTCACCAAAAAAAGACACAGGTTACAATTGCTGAGGCAAAAGTTGAAGCTGGCTTCTATACTCAAGAGACAAGTAAGATTTATTCATGACTTCGTCTTATGATAATCATACTAGAATTTAGGGTGCAAAATCTTAGTTTGCCTTGGGATTGTGTCTAATCTCCATGCATGTGCACCGTAAGTTTGAATGTCTATTTATCAATTGTAAAGTCAATTACAATTAGTTAAATTAGTGAATTTGATATAAGGGTTTATGAAGAAGAAGAAGAGTTTAGAGAGTGGAGAGAAAGAATTAAAATAATCTTGTGTGTAGGCTACGTTGACTTACACTCTCTTATATTATGTGAGAATTACAATACTACCCTTCATTACTAAAAATGTAAGAACTCTAACATTCCCTCTTAAGTTGGAGCATACAAATCAAAGATGTCCAACTTGGAATAAAAATTATTAAATTACTAAGGACAGGTCGGGCAAATTGTTTGGTAAGGGTGTCACCCACTTGATCACTAGACTTGATGTATGATGTGATAATCTTTTTACACATCAAGAGATCTCGAATAAAATGACAATCCACTTCGATGTGTTTTGTCCTCTCATGAAATACTGGAGTACTGTCAATGGAAGTAGTTGTTTGGTTGTTACAACGCATCTTCATAGGGTAGGGCACATTGATACTCATATTATGAAAGAGAGAATGAACCACAACATCTCATACGCCATATGGTATTTAGCCTTTGCACTCAACCGAGCAACTATATTCAGTTTCTTGCTATGCAAATTAACAAGAATACCACCAAGAAACATACCGTAACCTAAGTTAGATCGTCTGTCAACACGACTACTTGCCCAATCAACATTAGAGAAGCCAATAACAATTATAGATAATGAAAGACAAAATAATAATTATTTTTCTGGTGCTTCTTTCAGATACCGAAGAATACGACTGACAGTCTCTTAATGAGGCTTACGAGGAGCGTGCATAAATTGACTAACCACACGAATAGTACAAGTAATATTAGGGCTTATAACTATAAGATAAATCAACTTACCTATATCATCAAAAGCTTCACCACTCTTAGCATCTAATTTAGTTGTAGAGTTCGTAGGAGTATTAGTTGGACGTGCGCCAAGATTCTTAGTTTCAAATAATAATCTAGTATATTCTTTCAGTGTTGTGAAAAGCGAGCCTAGGCAAAAAGTGAAGCAAAGTGAGCCTTGGTCGCCTTGAACATCCAAAGCGAAATGAAGTTAAGTAAAGCGAGGAAAAAGCGAGCTTAGGCGAGAAAAAAACGAGCTTAGGCAACGAAGCGAAGTAGCGAGCCAGGCGAGAAAAACGAACACCTAACTGAAGTTTTTTTATTTTCTCCTTCTCCCCTCTCCTCCTCATTCTTTTTTAACATTAACCAAACCCTAACAGAGATGATGCTATATGTGTATATGTATAAAATAAATTGATTGATTTATGTAACAATATCATATGACAATCTGTCTTATTATGATTAGATAATGTTGAATGCTTTGTTTTGATGTGAATGCTCTTATTAATCAATTTACTTGGTTAATCAAATTGAGTAATTAATTTGTTACATGCTCTATGTGATTAATCAATTTGTGAGTACTTTATTTAGTGGTGATATTAATCAATCACGGTGGAAGTTGAACCCACATTTGCTAACTTTACATTTAGATGATGTGATTACGTCAATTGATTATTTTTAGAATACAATAATGTTCAATATTTAATATCTTGTCTATTTAAAATATGTTGATGTTTAGTATTTTGATTGCATTTAAATATTTTATATTTGTAAAGTTAAAACTTGAATATTTGGGAGTAATTAAAATATGAAACTAAAATATTTGCTTTATTTTTATATTGTTCGCTCTGCTTCAATGAAGCGCTCGCTTCGCTTCTCGCCTAGGCCCTCAGGAGACCGGTTTGCTTTGATTCGCTTTACGCCTTAAATAACATTGTATTCTTTTGTTAGCATAAACTAATACCTTCTTTCGATTGAGCAACTTTAATTTCAAGAAAATACCGAAGAATACCTAAATCTTTGATAGGAAACTACTTTCTCAGGACCTTAAATTAGGCAATACCATCATAGTCATAATCGCTAATGATGATGTCATCAACATACACAATAAGAATAATAACACTTGTGAAAGAACGACTACAAACCATGATCTGAAGTAGAACACTAAAAACCATGATGTAGTATAACAGTACTAAACTTATCAAAATAAACATGTGGTGATTGTTTCAGGCCATAAAATACTTTCTTCAAACGATACACTAATTGTCCCTTAACAGATACAACATAACTTGGAGGTTGTATCATGTATGCCTCCTATTATAGGTCTCCATGTAAAAATGTATTTTTGATGTTGAGTTGATATAAAGGTCAATCACAAATCACTGCAATAGAAATAAAAATTTTAGCAGAGTTAAGACGGACAGACAATGAGAGAGAAAGCTTCACTATAATGCACACAATATAACCTTTGGTAACCAGATGGGTCTTCATACGCTCAACTGAACTATTTGGATGATACTTCATAGTGTAGACTTAACGACAATTGATAGGTTGTTTATTAGAAGGAAGACTAGTAAAGGGGCTTTCATTTTTTCATCCATAGCCAGTTGTCAACAAGGAGATGCCAATGCCTATTTCAAATAACTAGAAATAAATACTGAACATAAATTCGATGTAGAACAACGAAAGGATGGTGAAAAGTGATGCAAAGAAATAACATTAGAAATGAGATGCTTTGCACAATTATGAGTACCTTTTCCCAATGCAAAAGGCAAATTAGAAGATGATGAACTTGCTGACGACATAGGGTGCCGAACCTTAATAGAATTAAGTGATGGTTGTGGAACTGGAACATATAGAACAACTTATCTTAGAGTGATGATAAATCTGCAAGGGAGGAGTATGACTCGATGAGGAAGAAGATACACAAGCTTGTACAATAGGCAACAAGATCTTCACCTAAAGAATAAATCTAGGGAAAGTGTATCGCCGAACACAGAAAAGAAGGAAGGTGACTCAAAAAGTAACATCAATACTGACATAGTACTGACGAGAAAAAGGTTGTAGCAGTGATAATCTTTCCGAGTACGAGAATTTTCCCAAAAGACACTTAACTGACTGAGATAAAAGTTTATCCCTACTGAAACCAAGAAAATAAACAAATACAATATAACCAACGACACGAGTAATGAAATCAAATGATAATGTATCAAGGATAAAACAACAAGGAGATTTGTTGTCCAAAATGATGGAGGACATACGATTAATAAGATAAACTAAAATAAGAACAACATCAGCTTAATATGATTTTAGCACATACATGTTAAACATTAAGGTACGGGCAACATCTAATAAATGGAGGTGACCTCCTCATCTGGACCTAGACATGTTTAAATATTTGAATGAAAGGAGGAGGAAAAGGAATTGTCATGGGATATCAAGGCCCCTCCCTCTCCCCCACAAAAAAAAAAAAAAAAAAACAAAAAAAACCAAACTCTCCTTAATAATGTGAAAGCTTGATTCTTTTGGAGCCAACTTTGGAAATTTCGTTGGTAATATAGGTAGATGTGTCTTACCAACAAAAGTCCATTTTTTTTTCCATGCTTGTTGTTAGATGAGTAAGTGAATTGATAAGAGAATAGTTGATTTTCAGTGAGTTAGCAAGTAGTTTGGATTTTGGAACTCCAACTATTTGGAATAACAGACTCATTGTGAGAATATATAGAATCTTGGTTCTATTAGATTGATGCATTCAGGAATATGATTGGCCGCCTTGGTAAAAGAAGTGTTTGATTAGCGATTTTCTCAGGTATGAGAGCATCCTTGCTCTCTCTGGCTAAAGGAGCACGGGCACTTTCAAGAAGCTAATGTGTTTGGACACGTTCCAGACAACCCGGACATTTGTCTGTGTCCATAGTCAAGAAATAAAGATCTTAATTTCAGAAATGCGTCCACACTCCTTGCACAGTTTGTTCAACTTTTTTTAGGTCGTATCTATGACGTAAAAAATAAACATGTGGGCTGTGGCCGAAACTCCTTGGACATTTGCTAATATATGATTACCAAAATTTCAAAATTTGGCATATAACTATTGTATACCATGATAACAATGTATAATTGTTAATTCTAATCATGTGAAATTTCAGTTAAAATTCACTGAAAACTACAGAAGGCTTAGAAAGGATGTAGATGTATTGTAACGGCGTATTCTTGTTAGGACTTTTCTATGGTCTATAACTTTAAAAACTCATATTGTACATTGTCAACTTTCTATGAAATGAAAGTCTTTGTTTCTTATCAACCAAAAAACTCATGTTGGAATGCTTAAACTAAAACATACTTATCATAAAACAATGACTGTTTTTACAATGTGAAAATTATAAATTTAGGTGAACTATGTAATTCAGTATATACACTTGTGTGGGTCGTGTCCTGGCAGTGTTCTTGTCTCTTTTTTGTTTTATTTTTTTTCTGTAAAAGATTTCTCGTATTGACGTGTCTGTGATGTGTCACGTTTGTATACTGTGCCCTTTAAAGTTCATAGCTTACTGGAGGTGACCTCCTCATCTGAACCTGTACATTCTTTTCTTCTGCTACAATTTTGGCTCACGTATGAAACCTCTGTCCTTGCAAAGTTTCCAAACACTAAAGTATATTGGGACTAATTTGCCTTGGGGAAACATGCAAAATATTCAATAAAGTTGCATTATCAAGTTTTTTTGACATTTTTCTATCCGTTTTCGTAATGGGTATTTGACATGATATTTTCTGAGTTAATCTTTTGTTTGGTTTGATTGACAAAGTTCTATATATTTAGTCTTTCTTATAAAGTAGACTTCTAATTTTCAGCAAGTTGTGGTTGGCACTTAACCATGTCTGAAGTCAGTTGTTTCTTGTTTAATCAGGTGAACTGTCTAGAAGATTGGGCTTCCTTGGACAAAGACCACTCTATGTCTTTGCTAGGAGCAATTGAAGCATTGAAGGCTAGCACTCTTCGTCTTCCAGTTGTCGGAGGAGCAATTGTATGTGCCTGGGGTATTTTTTGCATTCTGTTAACTTGCCAGCTCTATCCCAGTGTTCAACACATTACCATCATGAAGCTTGACAAAGTCAACATTGCTCTTAATTTTAACAGGGTGATATTCAAAGCTTGAAGGATGCTGTACGCTCAGCTGTTGATGTGATGCAAGCAATGGCTTCCTCGACATGTTCGACTTTGTCAAAGGTACTCTCATTTCCTAGTTTGAAATTTCATGCTTCTCCTTGAATGCGGTTATTGTTGTCTCAATAATGATGTTTGTCCATGTCATACAACAGCAGTTTTATCTTATTAGCATTATTGTATAGCATAGATTTGAAAAATCAAAATTTTGAGCTATTTATGATTTGGAGACTTCAAAACTTTTTATGTTTTGTGTTATGATTTAGAGACTTAGAGACTCCTTGAATGTGGATGAAGACATGTAAGGAAACAAGTGGAGTTTGTGTGATTCAGATAGCGTTAAAAAAAAAAGGTTCTTTGTTTTGACCGAGCATGTACAACACACAACCATTACATACGGGATTTTGGGTGATTCATTTAGCATTATGAAATCACATAAATTTTACATATTAAGTTTTATTAGTATAATTGAGTTTTTGTTGGCTACGACATGAGGTGATCACAATTCCTAAATTAATATGATTCTCTACAGATAAGTTTTTTATTCAAAAATATAGAATTTGTCGAGATATTAAAAAAACTGTCCACAGTGCAGGATGGAGGCAATGAACATCTTCACAGCACCCAAAACAGAAACAGAAACAAAAACCTAAAAAAAGGAGAAGAAACTACCACATATGAACATCTGCAGCCAAAGAAAAGTAAAGGACTTGCTCCACCTTGAAAGTCCAAAAAGCAAACCTTTAGGCAGGCATGTCACTCCCTTGTTAACACTTACACCTGTGGTAGCTTGGAACATATACAGACCACAATTTTTGCCAACTGATGTGACTAAAATATAAAATTCCTATTTGTGTAACGTCATGAAGCAAGGTTAGAACAGCTCGTTTGGGTTTTGAAACGATGGTGGAATTTGCATTGTGAGGAGGATACCAATAGCCAAGTCTAATGCTTTGTGTTTCTAGTCATGCATTTAGGTATTCTAGGTTACATATGGTATTTGGGGCAATTCATCATAGAACCCGAGGTTGAGAATAAAGTTTGTGAAACAAATGCACTGAGCCCTAGACCACTGTTAAATGGATGTGGACATGCATGTCGGCTGCATGTGTTTATTCAAATATGAGTCATCTAGTTCCTTGATCATCAAAACCCGGGGACGCAATCATATTATCTTGATCCATATTACTAGCATAAAGTGATGTTTCTATTTTGAAATGGTTATTTTTAGCTCTATGCGATCCATGTGATAACGGAACACACTTATAAGGCATCCTTAAACAATTCTGAAGTACCAAGACGAGTGAATAAAGGTGCCCAAGCATAGACATTTAATTCGCAGACTGTTTGGTATCCATTGAAATTTAAGTAGTGAATTAAATCAAACTGTTTGATAAATACACAGAGCTAACATCTGAAAATAAACTATTTTTTTAGTTTTACCCTTTTCATTCTTTATTTTGAAAATATTTATAAAATACACATTTACCTAATAAAAAATCATGATATATCACTATAAGAATTTATAACATAATTTAGTACTATACAAAGAAAGAATTGAATTAGAAAAAATTGAACAATAACACATTCAAAAAACATGCATAAAATATTTGAACAAATCTGATCCACAAAAAAAAAAAAATTAAACAAATAAATTGTTAACCAAACAAATAATATAATAATAACAAATTAAATAACAGAATAATCGAACCAAAATTAAAAAGATTGAACAAATTATAAATAAAATAATAAATATTTTTAGGTGCCCTAATTAATCATTGTGGGTGTATGTGTGTGATTCAGTTTGTGTGTGCAGTATGTGTGATTATTTGTGTGTGTGTGTGTGTGACTAGTAGAAGAGGATGAAGAAATGATTGTGAAACACTTTAGGGTAAAATTGTTATATTGAAAAAATTATAAAAGATGCTACTCTTGAGTGCTTTTAGCTTTCAGAATTAAATAAGAGATTTCTTGCATAATATTTTAGCTTATTTTTAAGGAGCACTTAACATATTAAGAAATTTTAATTTTAGTTATCAAACCTGCTTAATTAATAAGTGTCGAATACATTCATTTTAAGTACTGAATTTGGTTTAACAAACACACCCTGAGATATCTATTTGTTACAGTTCTTAATGTATTGACAGTGGGTTTATAGCTGTGTCCTACAGTATATTGGACACTTACATATTCTGCCCGTTGCAACTGATTCACATCTGCCATGAGTGCTCTTCACTTGCAGAAGTGTGTTGAGCATAGTCTTGTGTGACATGCACTGTATTGCATTAGAACACATGCAATTGCAAAATGATTGAAAGTGGGGGCATAACGAGCCAATGATATACTTGTTTCTCTATCAGTTGACAATTCAAATCTAAAGGGATGTGCTTCAGAGATTTTGAAGAGTGAACAAGATTTTACTGAAGACTTTTTCACTGACATCATCCGATTTTCTAGATAATGTTTTAGTTTGATAAATGTGGACTTTTGCTTCAATAGAAAGGATGGAGAAAACATATTTGAGAAAGATAATTAAACTTTCACCAGAGCCCACATTTTGGCTCATTAGTTAAAGAGAAGTCTGACCCGATTCAGGTTTTTTTTATCCAGGTGGAGGAAGTGAATTCTTTGGTGACCGAACTTGCAAAATTCACTACAACAGAGCAGGCTTTGCTTGAACAATGCAAAGATTTTCTGTCCATGTTAGCAGCCATGCAGGTAAATGCAGCCATCTGTTCTACTCTTCCAAACTTTTTGCCATTGAATTTACTGAAAATAATTTCCTTTTTTATACTATTTAACAGATTAAGAACTGTAGCTTGAGAACACATATATTACAAAATCATCGTGTCAACTGCCTGACAACAAGTGTGTAGAACTGACTTCATTCGACAATCTACTGTGAATGCTAACGTTACACAGATCTTCTCAACCTAACGGAGGTAGCACTGGGGGTTAATAAGAACTGATAAAATGGATGGTTTGGGCTTCTCATTTGGCATGTTGGAAACCATTGAGGTCTTCCCTGAAATGTATTTTGTGCATCTTTGTATCCAAAGATCACAAGTATTGGCCTTTTTCCTCTTCACTGATTGGCTGTATACACTTTTATTTTTTTCCTTTGTTCAAGGAAAAAGAAAACCTGATGTATATATGTAGTTTGAATTACTGGTGTCCAGCAGTTCCCGGAAAAATTCTTTTGTTTCACCATCTGAAGTTGCTGGTATTCTGATTGATTATCGTTGTAATTGATGGCATGCCTAGAGTGACCCAAGAATCTGAATCATGTGTTCTAATTTCGAATGATAGGTGAAATGGAATTCTCCCGCCCCCGCACCTGCCCCTGCCCCCGCGCACACACACACACGTGCGCATAGATCATTGGTGGATTTAGCTTTTGAAGTACTTCTGCATGTTGCATGGCTGAATCCAACCACGGGTGGCAGCATTGGTTCGGTTCTTTTCATGTTGTGATAAACCTCGTGTCTTTCTTTGTCAGATGACAAACTAATTCTACTTGCACAAAAGCCCGGACTAGGTTCGGTTTGGGCCAATGTTGTTTCTATGGGTAGGGCTTGGGCCAAATTTTAGCCCATTATCTGAAATGGCCCAAAATATTCTCTAAGAGGTATATCGTTTTCAATTAAATTAAATTTGATAGGTTTAAAAATTAGCCCGACAGGATATCACCATTTTACAGAGATTACAAATGACGTGATGGTAACATTCGCTTACGAAATTAATAAAACTTTGCACTCAGATATTTATTAAATTCCTAGGAGGATTGATTGAGAATAGCTAAAAACTAACAATAACCCATACCCGAAGACATTTTTTAATACTAAAAATTAAACATTAATCGTGTTATATTTATATTTTAAATAGTAATTTATTTTTATAATTTATTTTTTTAGTTATATATAATTTAATGTATAGATTAGTTGGGCGATTTGACATTGGTGAGTGTATTTGTTGAATTGTCTGATATTGAAGGTCGTGCAGAGAAGATGATTTTTTTAATAAAAAAAATTGAGAGCTGAATTTTATATTATTAGATCAAAATAAATAAAAAATAAATTAATTTTAATAATCATTATTTTTTTATAAATTAAAAATTCAATTTTTTGTACTAAAATATTTTGTGGTTTACGCTATTCCAAAATATGAAAGCAATTTGAACAATAAAAGAATAACAGACAAGAAACAGGTCACGTTCGACCTTCCGGAACAAGCGGGAAAGGAGGGAACAGCACAGGCGGCATCTAACATGCGCTGTTGGTTGAGACCATACGCAGCGTTTCATTTTCGCCTGACAATTTTGTCACGTCCATCTACCACAACACCATCTCGGTATTCTTGCTATTGTGAGCCGCCTTATCCTACACTGCCCCCCACTGGTCTTAAGAAAGTCAACAATCTCATGCGCCTAGTAACTCGCCCCCTGCTATGTTTGTTTTTGACTAATGGGTGGGTCCCATTCTTATTTTTTTTACCTCCAATTTTTTTATCAGTTAAAATAGAGACACTGGTAAAATTTTTATATTTAATTCTTTTTTTTAAAAGGGTTATAGGTGGTTATTTTAGAAAAAATAAAATATATAACAAATATTTTATAAATATAGAAAATGACATCTGTGTGGTAATAAGAACGAATTTTAAATTCAAACGTCATGAGTAAGGAGCGGGACATGAAAGATTTATCTCTCATAAATACCCTAGTACCGATATAAATGACTTGTCTTTAAACGAATTAAAAAAAAGATTAATTAAAGTGTGCATAAGTTGATCGGGTCACTTCTGACCGTTAAATCAAAAAAAATAATAAAAAAAAAAGAATAAGAAAAAATTAAAATAAATAAATATAAGTGGTTATATTTGTACCGATTATTGTTTAAAACTTAAATACTAACCACCAGAATCCGAACACATATAAAACTTTCCCTTGATAAACAAGGGTGCTACCTGATCAATTCAAACAAGTGGATGGGTTGCAACTTGCAAATGACCAACTTTGTTTCAATATCAAAAGACCCTTTACCTAAGCGAAGGGCATGATGGAAAAGCAGAGAGGGTGAGAGGAGATGAGACGGAGGGAGGAGGTGGTGGAAGATGATGAATAAAAGTGGAGTGGGTCCGACTCTCCACAGCAAATGCATATGCATATGCAGCGACACACAGCAGTTGGAGGGCATAAAAAATGGACCCTACCACACCCCCAATTTAAAGAAGAAAATGGACGGACTCAATTGATCATTTGCTACTTTGGGGGATTCAAAGACCATCCAAAAACTATGAGCAATTGATGCTGATGGCTTTGTAATGTGCAATTTGATGAATGGATAACGCAATATGTTGGACCCACCACAGAGTATGTGGTCCCCACCTCCTCTCGATCATTCACACACAAGCAAATTGATAATTTATATTTTATACCCATAAAGTTTATACTTACATTTTTTTGATCCCTTTCCTAGCTAAAATTTATTTTCTTCGTCGAATTGCGTCCTACGTTACCACTTTACCGGTAAAGAAAAAGTTCTTGACTAATTCAGAAAATAAAATATATAGGCTTTTTTCGCTTTTTCGTCAAGCTAGAATTCTAGAGAAATCCCTTTCAATTTCCACTAATTCCCTTCTTATTGCATTATGTCCAAGGTTGACGATGGCAATAGAGCACTGTTTGTGACAACTGTTATTAAGAAAATACCCAAGGATCGAGTGACTGAACTTGATGGTCAAGTTGACCGTTTGGGTGAATAAGTGTAGACTATGATAGACAGGTAAGAGAATTAGAAATTATTAATCACCAACACTCGCTAATGAATACGGTGTCTTCCTAGTAAAGAAGAGCCGTTTTCATTGGCCTCAATGATTCTTGTAGTGATGTCCAAAAGGTGATGGATTGAAAATTTTAATCGACTCTTTTATTTATATCTATTAATTTGTTCCAACATAAAGAAATCACATGACTTGTCCGTAAGAGTACATTTGTCCAGGAAAAATTTCCTATTTTTTTTTTTTTTGAGTTGGTATCTTCTTTTTTTTAAAATTAGATGAACTAAATTAAGGTTTTGTAGCATATGTTGTTACAAAGGCCTTTCGTCACAATAAATTAATTAATTAGGATGCAATAATTAAATTAAAAATTCAATCAAAACTTCAAGGATTTGATTTTTGCAACATATAAAAATTTTAAGGACTAAATAAAAATTAAATGCATACGTGAAGGGTAATCCCAAAAAAACAAAAAAAAAAACAAATTTCAAGTATAGACCACAACAATAATTGGTAACAAAGTTTTGTTTATTTCAGGAACATCTTGTAAGTGTAGCCACAACATATACATATATATATATATATATATATATATATATATATATATATATATATATATATATATATATATAAATATAATAGCATAGAAAGGGGTGCCATCTTTAAACCTGCCATTTCTCTCACAACAGCATAGAAACTATAAAATTTTAGTGATGAATAATAGCTTACATTTAACGGTAAGTATATGTTGCTAGTTCAAGAACTTAGAGCAAGCATAGACAAATCACGTGATTGTCACGTGACCATTCATATCATGTGTCGTCGTTTGTTCTATTGTTATAAGATCATTCACATCATGTGTCTTCGTTTGTTCTATTGTCACATGACCATTCACATGATGTATCGTCATTTGTCCTAAGATTGATAAGAAAGTGTCATTTTCATTTTTATTATAGGGAGTTTAAATTTGTGCCGATTACACTTTCAAGCTCAGTGATTGACCGACTATTTCCTCAAGTTCAACGGCTGGCCGACTATTCCCTCAAATTCAACGGTCGGCCTCATTTGCTTGAAATAAATGAGAACATGTCCCTAAAAAGTGTGAAAACAATTAAACTTTGAGACTTTTAAATTATAAAAAGTTAGCCTAAGCTCAACCATTAAACCATCATAAAAGTTTATAAAATATCTATATAATAAAGTAGCTTATAATTTAAATATCAAAAAATAAACAAAATAATTTTTGTTATTCGCGGTTGAAATCGCTTTAAATTTTATTTTAAAATTAATCTAACGATTAATATTAAAACTCTAAATTAAATAGAAAAAAATAAGACTTTAAGGATGTGTTTGAAATAATTTTTTAAAAGTGTTTATAATAATTATTTCTCATAAGTATTTTAAAAAAAAAATATTGTTTTGAACTGTTCCATCACTATTTCTACCATCACCACCACCACCACCGCCACCGCCAGAGCCATCGTCACTATCACCCCCACCTCCACCTGCACTGTCGTCACCACCATCGTCGTCGCTATCGCTGTCATCATCACCACCACCATCGTCACCACCCCCCTCCACTATTATCGTCAACACCACCACCACTATCACCATCGCCGTCATCACCACCACCATCACTACTGCCCATTATCTCTCATCTCCACTATAAATCAATGTTTAAATTCTTTTATTTCTTCTCTATGTTTGTAATTTAATTTTAAATATGAATATAAATATATTTTTTATTTTTTATTTTTTATTACTATGTGCCTTCGGACTCAGACGATAACTTGTATTTAATATGAAAATTCACCTATAACCTAATAACTGCAATTATGATATCCCAAATTTTGTGTTTATCATTGCTCTAAATTTTGATGGAAGCAACTGGAAAAAGAGCAGGGATACTAGGAGAATTAATCTTTTATTCGAAGTCACCATGACATAGAAAAAGAGGAGACAATAAAAAAGTGAGAAGTGGTTCCACCACCCCGGAAACCACCAAAAACTCGCCGGTTTTCTCACCGGAAAATATCCAAAGTTCAAAAATTCCAAAAGAAAATTGTTAACAGTTTGAACTGTAGTTGATGCTCGTTCAGGTAGCCGGCAAAACTTGTGTCAGCCTCTCTCCCACTCTCTGTCTCTCTTAAAGGAACAGTCTCAGGAGCTTGGTTTCACGTCCTTCCGACGAACTTTGATGATTTGTTGAACCACTCTCCAAAGTCGTCGTTTCAGATTCCTCCGAATTCCTCGAAGGTGTCGCAGGTCTCCGCTTCTCCGTCCGACGTTTCACCCTCCCACCGGAAGTCATTCTCATCGGAAAACCAGAAGTCAGACCAAGATCAAGATCATTAGATTGCAATCTACAATTCAGGTCTTGCGATATGAAATTGTTGACGTCTTTAGCCTCCTCCAACACATCCTCAGAGTTCGGCGTCAAATCCCCAAAGGAAAACTCCGGCAGCGCACGTATCACCCCGCCGCGGAGCACGGTCTCCACCGCCGACTGGCACACATGCCAGTTCCCAGTCCATAGCAGTCCCACCGCTCCGTTCACCGGATTCACCGTCCGTCCACATGCTTCAAACAATAAAGACTGAAACAAAGCTGTACATACACACAAACCCAAGTCTCATCAGAACCAAATCAAACCATAATCAATGAAAACAAACATACCCACAAAACACTCTCTCTCTCAATAGTTTTATGAAACCATAATCAATGAAAACAAATTAACTCACCCAGAACACATTCTCTCTCTCTCTCTCTCACACACACACATATGTATATACCTGGCCTTTGAGACTCGGGGACGGCGGAGAGAAATGACATAAGACCAGCACGGCCAAAGAACTTGGCAACGAAGATGGTGGCGTTGGCTTGGGCTTGAGGGTTATCTACACCTTGAAGACTCTGTCTCAATATGCAATTCTCATTGCAACCTTTTCGAAGAACTCGACACCCATTACAACTCATTTCCGGCACATAAAATTAGTTCAAACTCCGGGAATATTTGACTACAAAAATCAGTGTGAAGTTTCTTGAAACCCAAGAAATAATGAAAAAGGGTTGAACTTGGCTACCAAAATCACTCAGAAATTTCTTAGAACTCAAGAAATAATGAAAGGGGTTGGAGTTCAGGGGAGGTTCTTGAAGGGAGGGGAGAGAGGGAGAGAAATATATATAGAGGCGAGGGGGAGTGAGAATTATTAGTGGGGGTGGTGAAACTAACCATGGTTAGATAAATTAACCATTTTGAAGAGATTTTTGTTTTGTGTGGCCTGTGTTTAGTGGGAGATGGCATTGGAGTTGGAGTCTAGAATTTGTGTGGAGGGGTTGTAATTAACCGTTGTATGTATGTATGTATGTATGTATGTAAGTATGTATGTATGTAGGGTTTGGTTTGGTTTGGGGGTTCCAAAGTGTTTGGCAAGAAGCGGCTCCGTGTCTCCGCGAATAGGCGGCGGTTCCTCCACCGTTGGATTCTTTTTGTTGGGAATGGGAGGTCCTTTTTCATTGCCGCCCATTGTATTGGGACCAGTTTTCTTTTCAAGCGCGTAAATTACACGTTGGGCCACACACACATCCATGGCACTGCGACCATCATACACCTACTTTCGAGGTTGTGTTTAGTTATGGTCAACTGGCTTGCAGGGTCCCGTTTAGATCAATTTTTCTTAATTCTCATGAAGTCTAATTTGATTCACGGAAGCTATCATTGACGACTCTGTAATGCGAGAATTAGACTATGATTCGAGTCGATTTTTTTGGAATACTTATGATTTTTTTGCCAAGTAGATTCTTATGATGGGCTACTTTCGTGAGTTCAAATTGTCATGATCAAATCGGAACAAAGATTCTACTTCGATTACTTCTTCAAACTTTTTTTGTGATTCAAAAAATAAAAATTGTATTTAAATTTAATCTATTTGACAATGTTAGGTTGGTGATTCAAAAAAAATTAGAAATGGATTGACTATTAAGAAATAAAATTCATATAATAATAAAAATATATTTTCATTACCATGAAATTTCCATTTTGTTAGATTAATCAACAATCTCAAAAGAGAGATGGTAATTATTCATGACCATCCACCACCGTTAGTACACTTAAAACACTGTCGCCATCACATCTACTACCATTACTCGGTTGTCAAGATTAAAATCAGGATCTTGGGCCTGATCTGGGTCCTCAAGTTTGGTCTTTGGACCCTCAAATCGTGATTCGGGTTAGATTAAGAAAAATCAAATAATGAAATCTGAGAGGATAGAAGAGAAGTGCAATCAATCCCTCCGATATGGTGGTTTTGGGTTGGACCCTCGTTACTGTCCACTAAATTAAACTAATATGCGTGTGAAGCAGTTAATAATATTTTTTAAAATTTTAAAGGATAGTTCAAATGGTAGCAGAGACGAATTGTAAACTCAAACGTCCTGAATTCAAATTTTGACAATTCTTTAGTGTCAGCTCACGAGGGATAAACTATTATAGCGTAAATAATCTGTTTTTAATCAAATTGAAGAGGACTAGTCAAAGTGCATTCAAATTTTTTCAGACACCCCTAACCATTGAATAAAAAAAAAATAGTACTTATCCAAGAATATACATAAATAGTCCAATTCAATCTTGGATAGATATATCCACATATAGAATAAGTCTCTAAAACTAACTCCAACACGCAATTTTAAAGAGTTTTCTTTGCTATCTTTTAGTGTTTGTTGAAGACCTTTTATACATTTGAAAACCTAGTCGAAGAAAACAAATAGGGTTAAAGAAAGTTCAAACAACATCAAGAGCTTTAGATTATTTCTTTATATTGTTCTCAAATGTCCTTTCAAGACCATCTAAAGCTCTTCTTCTTTCATGATTACGTTTAGGTAAGGTTTCTTTCATTTTTGCTCTTATGGGAAACATGAGTCATACTTTCACTTACATCATTAAAAAAAAAAAAAAACTTCCCAAACTGAATTTTTTTAGTTGGTTCATCTATATTGTTTATTGTAAACAAGTTTCCTTCTACTTCATGTCTATAGATAAAGGATAAAGTTATTCAGAAATTTGGAGTTTCAATTTCAACTCCAAAATCTTTGATTTCTGACATTGGTGCATTTGAGTTTGTTAAGCGCTTTTGCGTCAAGGGTGGGTAGACGTGTGGATTTCTTTATCTTCCATATCTGCTCGCTTTGTGCTTGCTTACCATCATCCATATTGTTTTCATCAATTTTAGTAATTAATTCCAAATATAATGATAAGTAACTATTAACTAAAATAATGAAAAAAAATGATAAACACCATAAAATAAGACAACTATGAACATGACACATTGTTTTTTTTTTGGTTCATAAGTGGAGGTAGGATACAACTCCGTTCACTCCTATGTTCCTAGCTCCAATTTGACTTTAGTTGCGAACTCATAACTACTAGTTCTCTTAAGACATAAACTTATTCATAATAATGTCAGCGCATCGGGATTGTGGTTTATAATTAATTCAGAATAGGCCCTCCATCCACCTATTATTTAACTACCATTTGCTTAGCTAAACAATAGCAACTGCATTGTCTTACTTGGTTAGAAGTACAAGAAGGTGCGCAGCTTGTTAGGAATTACTGTAATGGGGCATAATAATAATTCCGAAACATTTGCAATTTAAGTTTTAAAGGTGAATAATTTTATAATCGAACAATTATCGATCATATAAATATACAAGACTCTATTTATTACGGCATTTGGAAGAAGTGTTCGGAAGTCTCACCCCCAACCCACGACATATTTGGGTGAATGAACACTCATCATCATTTTCATGTCTAACATATGCGAGCAGTCTAATGAAATAAATGAAATCCTCCAAAATAAAGGGAAATTAAATATGTTGCCATCCTCATGCATGACATGATTGGAACATAAAGAAGTGTCGATGACATCCATTTATGTCATGCATGGTGAGCATTTATTTAAAAACAGAAGCAAGAGGAGGATGGATAACACAAACGGGTTATACATGCTATAAACCACTATTACACACTACTTTAACATAATTAACACACAATTATCTATGGTATATAGATTGAGATAATTTTGACATGATACAGTTTACACACATGGCCATCCCTAACTGTCATACCTACATGTGGTATAAACGTGTGAAAAAACGCGTTATCCCCAAGGATTAGAACAAGGTTTAAGATGAGGATGAATAAGATTCATTGAAGTTATAGTCTTGACTGTGTAAGTCTATGTTAATTAATCCCATTCATGACGTCTTTGTCTGATATGTACCACAAAACATACATCCAACATAGTAAAGTCGAGTGTTAATTCCAATACTTAAACAACGCTTGTGGAAAAATGGGTTCCCAGTTCTTGGAGTTTTGGGTTTATTTAACAGAAAACTGTTGGCTGCTTCTTCCATATAAAACACGGTTCAACTATAATACTAAAAAATTATTTTTCGAAATCATACGTTTGCCATTTTTGAATAAAAATGTGACACAATTTAAAGTTACATTGTTTTATATCACAACCAGTTGTTACAAATGAATCGAAGTATCAAATAAGATCTAGAGCTGAAAATTCTTTTCAGTATAGCACTGAAATTTTTTTAAGATACTATAAGAGATTTATTCGCGCGTTCGGAATGTCCTCCCCCCATCAAAGAATTTTGATTGACCTGGCGTAAGCCTACGCTTTGTGCCAGTAGCCTTTATCTCTCGGTCTCCGCAGGCACACTTGTCCCACATCGACGGAGAGTCGTCTCCCCCCCCCTCGCATATAAGTCTTGGCACTATATGGAGGTGGTACCCACTAGCCACTTGATCAAGCGTGTCCACGAAGACCGAGAGGTAAAGGCTACTGACACAAAGCGTACGCTTATGCTAGGTAAGCTAAAATCTTTCAGTGGGGGAGAACATCCTAAACGCGCGAATAAATTTCCTACAAAAAGGTGCATTTTTGTAGGAGATTTATCCGCGCGTTTGGGATGGATCAAGTGCTAGTGGGTACCACCTCCATATAGTGTCAAGGCTTATAAGCGAGAGAGAGAAACGAATTTCCATCGATGTGGGACAAGCGTGCCTGCGGATACTGAGAGATAAAAGCTACTGGCACGGATAAATTTCCTACAAAAAGGCGCCTTTTGTAGGGAATTTATCCACTCGTTCGGGATGGATCAAGTGCTAGTGGGTACCACCTTCATATAGTGCCAAGGCTTATAAGCGAAGGGGGGGGGGGAGACGACTCTCCGTCAATATGGGACAAGCGTGCCCACGGATACCGAGAGGTAAAGGTTACTGACACAAAGCGTAAGCTTACGCCAAGTCAGCCAAAATCCTTCGATCGGGAGAGAACATTACGAACGAGCGGATATACACTAACCCTTTAAATAATAGTATACAAATTGTTAGAAATATATGGAGTGGAGCACTGAGTAAGCTTTTTTTTCTTTTTTTTGGCTGGTTGACCGCTGAGTAAGTTGAGCTGGTGATGCACAATCCTAAGCTGGATATGGAGGAGGACATGTTGGCTCTATGCTTCACTACATGACAAAGTTTGAAGAGTGTCCTTCGATGGAATATAGAGGCAACTTATATTTTGCATTTACTAGAGAGCCACTTGGACTATTTCAAAGATATACAAGTGTCTCTTGGGTTGTGATCGGTTCTTCTATAATATTTTACGAATAATGTTATTTAAACATAAAAATTTAACATAATTTACTGAATAATGATGTGATTTTATAAGAATTATTAGGTCAACATCAAATTTCAATGTTTAATTGGTCCTACAGTCAATCTAAATGTCACAATGAATTAGGTCAACAAATTATATTAGTAAATTAGATCCAATAACTTTGCTCATATTTTATTATCGAGTCTTCTACACTATCATTTGAGATTGTAAAATAGTCAGATAAAGACCGGGTGGAAGAGGAAGAGAGAGATCTTCTCAAATATATTTTCTCTTAATTTTTTATTTTAGTAGATCATTTTTTGGATATAAAATATAAAATTATGAAAATATTTGATGCATGTGTTGTTGGCAAGTTTAAAATTATTAAAGAGTTACCAGGTGTCAAGATCTAAAGAAAATGTGAGAAGCAATAAGTCACAACTCTTGTTTGAAAGAGAAAATAATTATCTAAAAGTTATAAAATCAATTAACCATCAATAAAAAAAAATCGTCAAAAGAAATGGTTATAAAAGAGGAAAAGAAGGAGTTGAAGGGACAAGTCAAACCCCTCACAAGATTCATGATTAGGGCATTTAGGAGTAGTGTTAAAGTTAGTTTTAGAAAATAGTTAATGCCGTAATCAAAGGTTGTTAAATCGGCTACTTTGTAACTAAAATTTATTTGATTGAATTAATAAATAAGACAATTTTTATTGATTCATTATTCAATGTACATCTTTAAGAATTTAACGAAGGAAATCCTAAAACAAGGCATTTGAGTCTATTCACAAACAATCGCATGAGAATTGTTTGTCAATTGAGACATTTCTGTTGATCGCAATAAATTTTGGAGCAACAATCACCTACCATAAATTCAAGTACGACTCATTATACATAAATAGGTCTTTCATTCTATAAAGATAGATGACTCACTAAGAATAAAAACAAAGAACAAAAGTGTTGGGGAGATCTGAATTTGTGTGAGAGATGTGAGATGAGATAATTATAGAGAATTATGGGTAGTTAAAGAGTGTTTCTAAGTATTTTACATGCTTGTGGACACCAACCTTTATACTCTCCCTTTATAATAAGCTAGATTTTTAGACGAATCTAGGTTCGTTTGGAGCAATGTTCTTTGAGAACACTTTGAACCAACTATAACACAACATGACATAAATAATATAAAAAACTCGACATGAACTAATAATTCTTAACTCAACATATAAACATAATACAAAATCAACCGAAAGTACGAGAGATTTGTTTAGTTTAACAGATTATAGGTCATAATAAAGTTCACCTAGTAATCTAATTAATAAATAAATTATATATAATTTGGACCAAATTTAATACAAAATTTATCCGACACAAACACTCAATACGACACAACTCATTCCAAACCCTTGATGAAATAATAGCGCATGGGATGTCCGCCCTCTTTGAGAAAGAACAATTTGTTGACTTGTTGAAAAGCATTGTAACCTCCGATTTGCTAATTGATGAACTTTTTACATTAACTTATTGCCGCATCGCAGTTATGGGGCCTAAAGGGATCATAACCTCTTCCAATAATCAATTACTCTATCTACAAATTTAACCTTAATGCTGAAGATTACTTTTTAAAATTATGGCAAATTGTACTTTGTATCTTAAAAGATTTTAAAATTTTTATTTTATATCTTTAAAGATTAAAATTTTCATATTACACCCTTAATGTATTAAAAATGTTGTAATATGACTTTTTTATTAATTATTCGTTAGTTTTTTTGTCAGTGTCAATAGGTTGGTTTTTGATAGAAAAAAAATAATGAAAATTAACAGAAAGACTATATTACAACACTTTTGATACATTAAAGGTATAATGTAAAAATTTTAATCTTTGAGGGTATAAAATAAAAAATTTTAAATTTTTCAAGGGTGTAAAGTGCCAAAAAAACCCTTTAATTTAATATTACAAGGTCATTGGATATGCGGTGACTTGGTGACAAAAACACATAATAACAAGAGTGACGACCATTTTTAAGTTTTTTTTGTTCTTCTGTTGATTAGATTTTCTAGTTGGTTTGTCTTGAAGAACACTGAGATTTAACTTATTGTGAATGTATTATTATTTATTATATTATAGAAAAATATAAGATATAATAAATAAGAAAATCGATTGCAATGTATTTCTCTTAAAGATTTGCGTACAGATACACTCCCAAAAGACATAATACCCTTTTGTTATTTGCTTATATCGACAAATCATTGTTGATAATAGACGTTGGTTGATGTGGCTTGAATCACTTCTTTGTCTAGTAGATTTTTGACGAGTCCTATCTTACTTTCTTATTCTAATGAGCAAAATTTTGACATCAATAGTTTTAAAGTCCTTGTGTATGCGGAGAGCTGGTGACAGAAGTATCTAGCCAGCTTGAGATCAATTCTAAGCTTTGTCAAATTCAAACTTGTACCAAACTAGTGTTTTCATAACTAGGTTATGTTATTGATGGAGCTCGAGAAACAGGAATATGAGAGAGAGAGAGAGAGAGAGAGATTTAAGGTAGTGATGGTGGAAATGTGAATGCTACCTGGGTGTGTTGTGCGAGCTAAACAAATTGACAATAGAAATTGGATAACTCGAGAAATATATAGTAGTTCATCAACTGAAAATTTTGGCTAATCTACTCTAAAGGAGTCTCTTGTTCTGGGGGTTTCTATTACCTTTTGGGGGCAGAAGGCGGTTACAATTTCATCTGCTTTTTTTAAGCTAGGTTTTTCTTTTATATTTCCTCGGTAGAGTGGCCCTCAAGTCATTATGAATAGTCTCTCAATCTATTAGAATATTAGAGGGAATATTAGATTGTTAGAGGACTACTTTCTAGCACTAGTAATCTCTCAAGCATTAAGTGACATAGCACTAGTAATTTTATTCTTAAATAAGATCTAGAGATGGGCATAACTCTTTGTCTCTCTTCCTCTCATGGCCAATGTCATTTCAATTTGTGACTTGTGTCTAGACTGAGGTGACTTATCTTTTTCTGCTGTCAAGTGAAGTCATCTTTTAAGACGACTTTATTCTTGGATTATCAGTTATAAAAGAGGAAATCATTGTAGCACTCTATAGCAGTGTTACGGAACCCAAGACCAAAGTGTTCCTATAGTCGATACCCTTTTGAGTTGTGCAGTTGTTTTCAAATGGGATGGTCTTGGTAGTCTGTTTGGATTCATTTGAAGGTAAGTTGGTGGTTAGAAACGTTTGGTGCTGCACTGTGGCCTACTCAGAGGGTTTTAAGTTGGTTTGGTTCGAGATTTCCTACAAACTGCCTTTAGTATCACACAAATCGGACAAAAATTCACTCTATAAAGTTAAAAAATCTTGAGCTCGAGATACCCTTCAGCTAGGGATCTTACAACCCATATTCAGAAATGGCCTTCATATCTAGCTGGTGTTGGTTAAAAGGGAATGTATACACAGTTCACTTTATTAAGAATAATGCTACAATGACCAAATTTAGAGTGCAAATAATATGACAGTTGATTAACTTTTATTGGTATCCAAATAACATGACACCAATCAAAAAAATCAAAAAAACCTAGCATTACTGCTTTATTAATCTTCGAAAACACTACTTCTTTCCGGGAGGGAACAATTCTTTCATTGCACAGCTTTGGAAGACAAGGATGATGCCAATCCCCCCAACCCAGACTCCGCAATAATGAGTTTATTATCTCGTACATTAGGTACACCCTTCTTCGTCACTCACCAAAATCAATTAGCTGTATTTGACGTAGCTATTCAGTTAGAAGGATAGCTATCTGGGAAAAAAAGGTCAACACTTTGCACAAGAAACTAAATTTTCCTGCAAAACAAGAAATAATTCCAAACTCCTTTCTCCAAACTGTAAGCTTCATTTGCTCGAAGGAAAGATAACCACTAGCTTTTACCATGCTAATGTCATTCATTAAAAGTGAAAAAAAAAACCCAAAAACAAAAACCAAATACCATAAATTCCTTTCCCTACGAAACTGAATGCCTCCCTTTTCTGGAAGGAGTGGATTTAGCTGCTGCTTCTGGATTAGCAGAACCAAGGCTCTCCGATGAATCCGAACCACTATTCTCAATCAGGGCCCTTTTGTTTGACAACAATTTTGAAAAGATTTTCTTTGACATAAGCAACCCTTTCATTTTACCTATTGCAGTGTTGTCAGCATTACTTTTACCACCACTTCTCTCACTCCCTCCTCCATGGCCTAACCTTAAGGCTGCTAACTCACCCCTCAACGCCCTAAGCTCTTCTGCTGTTGCCACAGCATCCCACTCTTCTTCGGTGTTGGTTGTTGCCGATCGTGAGCTCCCATGGGAGCCACTATTAAGATCTTTAATGGCTTTGGGAAGGTCAGGAGTGCTGCTGCCAGATGATGCAGCAGCCCTTACTTGCTCGAAAAAGAGCACCTGCACAACAACTCTCAAGGGGAGTCTCTCATTTTGTACAGCATGCATGCATGCATCAACAGATAACTTCTTGCAGTCCATCAGCCTGCATATCCTCTTCCTCTCACTCTTGCTAATCCCGGGGTGTTCCTGCAGCACAAAGGAAAAAATTGATCAAGAGATGATGTATTAGCAACAATTGCTCAATCATATAAAATTACAGTAACTACAAAACTATCCAGATACCAGTCATTGAATGCAAGTGTAGTAGAAGTTGAAAAATGGTGGGTTACAATTTGTTTCTTGAAGATTTGTTATTCATTCAAAGCTTAATTCACCGCAACTTATGTGAATAACTGCTTCGATAAACAGCAGAGTTCTCATTAAAACAAGTTTCTAGTGCAAAATGCAAATTACAAAACAACATTCCCTCATGCTATATTCTTATATTTTATCATGAAATTATGCAAGCATATACCCCATCAAAACTCCAAATATGAGTGTGCTTATATACAAAGAAAAAAGTGAACTTTGAAGAACTCTTACCTTAAGATACATGTCAATGGCCCGATAAAGTCCATCGTGAGCAGGCCGCGCAAAACCAGACACCATCTCTGCGACATCAGCAAAAGTTGCCAAAGGTAGATTAGGATCTTTTGCAATTTCAGTGAGGTACCCATCAACGAGCTTTGCCACCATCAACTTGGATGCTTCTGATAAAATCCCTGGCCTTCTTATCTCCTGAATCTCACGGCTCTCCTCTAATTCACCTTCGGCATTTTTATCCTGTATCAAAAACACCTCCAGTATTTTCTGGACTATATTAACATCATACACGGTTGTTTCCCCATCCTTTACTTGTATCAAAAAATCATTAACAGAAGCCTCCTCCAATTGCTGCCCTATTTTTTTCACTAGTTCTCCCTTAACCATTTCTCCTGAATCCATGGAAACGGCTGCTTTTAACAACTTGAGCATGAAACCACAAGAGACGCTGCCTTTCTCAGAAGGCAACAGCCACACGATCGTATCCACTATCGAACGAGTCTTCAGGACATCGCCACACTGAATAATACCCTTACTAAATCCTGGCAATCTTCTCAGGGCATAAGCTTTCAAAGCTTTTCCAATCACTTCACTAGAAATTATCCCTTTGTCCTTTATCATTACAATTAACCGTTTGTATAAATCTACTTCAAGCTCACACAAGTCCTCAACCCACCAATCCTTGGGCACCACCCGGCTTTTGATGCTATTCCAGTTAGAATCATTCCCATTTTCCTCTGGTAGCATTTTTTGGCTGTAGGTATAGGACCAGTCCACCTTGGAAACATCAACAGAAGCTCTGGAAGTAATAGAATCAATGCAGTGGCTGACCAACTTCAATTCCTCAGATAAAGGTAATAGTAACTTCGTAGTCTGAAGAACTATGATAGAATCCTTCCAGCTTCGGAAAATACTGAAGTTGAGAAAAACATCCACCTTGTAGATGAGGTTCCCTTTTTCAAGTGTCTCATTCATTCCTAGGTATTCTGCCGCACAACGTGCTGCAATAACGTTGTAAGCATTTAAGGTGACTGTAATGCCATAACAGAACTTGGCACATATTTCGAAGGCAGCAGGACCACCTGGAATGTCATGAATGTGGACTTCGTCTTCATTTCCTTCATTTGTGGTGGCAACCAACTTTTGCAAACGGGCACTCTTGGACAAAAGTGGAAACTGCATAACCAGTTTTATCAGTCCATCAGAATTACACAATGGCTATGCAAAGCCAGGGACAAATTACAATAAATCAGCAACAGATATGAGGCACTCAGCAATTAACTTAAGTTATTTTCTTGTTCGATAACTATTTACTTTAAAACAGAATTTCATCAATGACTTCAGCAAAATGACAAATGGTTTCCAAGACAACAGTACAATATCATACCTTCCTCGGGCATGATTCTACCTTTGACTCATAAGCACTTCAATGGCTTACATATGATCCAGGATGAGCTGCCTATCTCAGATGCTGTCACCTTACATTTTAAGTGACCAGTAGTTTGTGACTCACAAAAACATATCAAGTTCTTAAAAAAGTCTTTGGTCCAATGGTACTCCTTGTCTTGTAAAAACTTTGCTTTCTTGAGACCAAGGGTTCAAGTCCCCCCTCCCCCTCCCCCTCCCCAAAAAAAAAAATTCTAAAAAAATGGTTACAAAATCAATGTGGTTTGAATAAGCTGAAGCAACGAGTCTAAGCACATCAAGAGATGAAACAAAGCAAGGTACAGGTATAAATGGGTCTGAAAATATGAATTCCAAAATAACACTAGATAGCCACAAGCATCAGGAGGCCAGACATGGCAAAATATTGCTGAAATAATTATTCTAATTACAATGAAAAACACAAGCACACGGTACAAGATCATCATACCTTGTGCAAATAAAACCTCACATCCCCAACTTTAACCACAATGTCGGTTGCCAACTCAGTAGTCACGTACCTGCACATGTAAATTTTCTCTGGTAATATACTATTGGTGGAAATTCAAAGATTATATACATTGAACAATTACAACTGTAAAATACTACATCCTAATCCTTGACAGCCCAGATAGGTAGTTTATTGTCTCAGTTATTTGAGGGAATTTTTTTTTGGTGGATGTTCTTAAAATGCATAACTACTTAAGCTGGTTAAGAGGAGAAAAAGATTAGTGCAATTTCAGTATTCCATATAATGAAGAAGTGAAATAATGGCATCAATGTACTTTACCTTGCACTGCAATACCATTCCGAATCTTTAAATAAAAAGAGCGATTCACGGGAAACTTAAAAACTTTTCCTTTTGTCAATTTCAAGGGCAGGATTTATGAGTAATCTTACTTGCTCATTTAGACATAATCCTTAGAAGTCTAGTGTAGCTATTAATACAAAGAAGTTCGGCTATTGACATACTTAGTCAGCACCACAGTTTAGCATTATTAGTTACCATTAGGTTGTATCTACGGAAAAAAAACCAGCCCTGCAATCTGAAATATTAGCAATTCTCAAGATAATCTCATTATAAGGTAACTAGACATAGTTGTTACACCATCTTGTATGTAATCTTTATTTTTAAGATCACATGTTGGACCCCAGATCCCTCCCTTCAAACACCAAATAATTCTTTGGTACATCCAACATAAAAGATCGTAGACACTATTATCTACATTTACACAAATTCCCTCTTTGAATGAGCAAAACCAATTTATGGAAAGAAATTATCACCCCAAACAAACAAGATTGAGAATTATTGCAGAGCAAATGTTGTACATCTTGTTTGCATACTAAGCCAAATCATACCCTCCCATTAACAAACAATTCTTACAACAGTTAAAGTTCAAGTTAGCAAGCATGACAACAAAAGATGGTATCCAAGGACAAGCCTATTTGTGCAATTAACAGAAAAGGATGGACTCATAACGATGGGACCAACATGAGACAATCTGACCATGCCTTCGTTACAAAGGTATTTCCAAAGAAAATTTCAAAAACACTGATGAGTAATCTGAGTATTCCAACAGTTAAAGTTCATGTTAGCAGGCATGACAACAAAAGATTGTATCCAAGGACAGCCTATTTGTGCAATTAACAGAAAGGAAGGACTCATAACGATGGGACCAACATGAGACAATCTGACCATGCCTTCGCCACAAAGGTATTTCCAAAGAAAATTTCAAAAACACTGATGAGTAATCTGAGCATTCCATAAACCAATAGGCCAACAGTTTCACTCTACCCTCACAAAAACTTAAAAAACCTAAGTATTTCAATCCAAACCCGGCAGATTTCTAATGGCCCCACTCATGCTAAAAGAGGAAAAACTGACAACATCACCTGAAGTATCAAACAGAGAAAATGACAAATTATATCTTGGGCAAGAACATGGACTCGGTTGAACAAACTATGAAGAACCAACCAGGCTACCAAGCCAGCATTCATTTTACTTGAAAGTGTAAAATTTCCTTTTCAGGAAACAAGATGTGCTTAGCAGTACCAGTGGTAACCCAACAAGAACTAACTTAGTTAGTTTGTTACATAATGTTGACATTGTTGCTGCGCATTCTTAAAGGACAGAAAATTTTTTGGTGCCCCAAACAAGCTATACAAAGTTAGAACCCAAATGGCATGCTGGTACAAAGCAGGATTATGCTGATTAAAGTGGAAACATCAATTGCAATAATGCCCAAATTGATCTTATCAGAAGGTTACTAACTAATTTGATTCTAAGAAAGATCTTACCTGACATTATTCCCATCAGTCTGAAACGAATCAGGCTTCGATCCAAGTTTCATGAACTTCATCCTGGCAACTGGACGATCTACTTCTCCTTTGATACCCAAAACTAAACTTTCCCACCACTCAAATCACTTCAAAGTTAACCCCAAAGCACTCGCTATGTTACATCCCCAATAATCAAACATAACCCCCCCTTCGAGGAATAGAGTCCAGAAATGGAAAAAAAACCAACCCAGGGGTGGGGACCAAATTTCTGATTATAACCAACTTTCAGGACTTCAAGGAAAGGAAATGGGATCTCAAAGAGGGGAATGATACATGCTTCGTATGACCGAATCTTGACAGCAACCAAGGCAGGACCAATTAGTGTGTATGTGAGAGAGAGAGAGATGGGGTTTTACATTTTTTAGAGAAGGTTCAGTTGAATGGGAAGAGAGCTAGAGAAAAGGTTGTTTCCTTGGTCGACGGCAAAGCCCATGTAGTCCGGGCTCACTCAGTCAGCTGAGGAGACATATCCTACAGATTCTCAACACTAAAATATTGTCAAAACCAAAGACACGCACAAGCCCCTCTCTCTCTCTCCCCCCTATATATTTAAGGCTAAAAGGTTCATACCACCAGAAACCCTGGTGCTCTTTACAGTTTCAAGTTCCCAAAAAAATTATATATATTAGATATAAATCTGGCTGTTTATATTTTCATCTCACAGCTGAAGTTTGAGCAACCTGCAAAGGGAAAAAAGCATCTCGGTATCAGTTGTAGAAGCCACCAAAACGGTAGACAACAAGCATCTCTCTTTATAGTTTTTGCAAGGTAAAGGAATAACTGACGGCATCAAAATATATATATATATATATATATATATATATATATATATATATATTAATGCAACAATCCAGTATCGCCAACCAACAAAATCTGAAGAACCCAAGAGACTCATCTCATGAATATCAAAAATCTAATTAAAAATGAACTCGTGATCATCATATGATGTAAATCAAAGGAAAATTCTTGAAACCCACATGAAATAATCAGAATATGCTCAAAATCAACTTGTAATCACTAGACAATGCCCAAAATCCACTCTCCACGTAATCCCCAACAAAACCCAAGATTTATCAGTTACATGAACTAATTTAGAAACACAAGAAACCCAACTCAAATAGTAAAATCAACAAAAGTTCATATGGAGAGAGAGAAAATACCCAAAATGTTATGTAGAACTCATTTAACACCTCTTCAAAGATACACTATGACCTTGTGCATGAGTTAGTCTATAGCTAGAACCAAACCATTATGTCAGAATCCAAGAAGGCAAGGCACTACCAAGACATACCCATCAGAGAACGAGTTGTTTCTAGTAATTTTCTTAGCTAAAAAAATGACACAAAACACAACAAAAACCAGTGACACAAACAAGCCAACTTTTGCTGCTAGTGCTTACCAGTTCTGTTAGAATCGGCACTACCCACTCTTTCTGAAGAGAATTTTCCCCTTTTCTTTTTCTCAACAAGGACAAAAGGAAAAGTTAAAACCCACTGCAAAAATTCGTTCTTTAAATGGTTTCTTTTTACTCTTTTCCTTCTTTCCTTCTGTTTTCTCTCTGATTTTCCTGGGAAAGTGAAAATTCTTGTTTGGTTGAGCACTTCAGATTGAAGCCGGAGTCATTAAGATTTGGTTTGGACAGCCATTTTTGCCACGTCTTGCACGCCAGACTGATGATATTGCAGCTTTCTTGCTCCTTCTTTAATCTTGGTCCTTTGTGAAATGACACCTGACTTTGTGTCTTAATTAACCTATGACCTCTCTGCACCATAATTATAACTTGTCTATCACTTCAATCAGTCAAAGGATGGTAATTTTAGGTGCTTATTAGATCAATCCCTTCCTTATTTGAAGTTGGAATCAATTTGACTTGTCATTTGTAATTTTTTTGTATTCGAAAACTTATTAGGTGGATCAAAGTTCAATATGTATCAAGGGTATGCCATATTTTCTTGCTCAATCCTTGTCAAATTTCATAATCTTTTTGTTTCTTTATAAGTTTTTAATTTTATATTTCTGCTCATTTTTAATATGTAAAAAAATAACGATTAGAAATGAAGATAACATTTATACTCAACCTATTTTCCTATATGTACCTCAATCTCAATAAATTAATATATATTATTTTGGTTTTATTGACGTAATAAAGAGGTGACAACTATTTGTTTAATTTAAATTGAAATCTCTCTTCCATCGATTTATATAAAAAAGTATAATTGGGCAAGGCTTTGTTTTTTTTGCAAGTTTTAATTAAGTACATGTGCTCATAGTAAAGCATTATGAAATTTAAAAGATATCTCTATATGACTTGGTAGATTGTATGAAATTCAAACTCTGACAAAAAACTATAAAATTCTAGTTTCATTATAGTGACATGGAAATGATCAAAGTTCAACCCAGCTTGACTTGTTGATGGCTTTGTGCCTTAGGTTCCCCATTACAATGCCTTTCTCCACCCAAAATCAGGAAAAGCACAAGCATACCTAAATTCTGTCATATTCCCCTCTGAACACATTTCTATGATAGTGCTAGATTTCTTTACATTTGGAATTATAAGTCTCACCACATTTCCGGGCTTCCATTCTCTCTTTAGTCTTTTCCTTGCACAGAGAGAGAGAGAGTTGGGTAGATTTTGAACTTGTTGAGACTAGTACATGATGACTTTTATTGAAATGAAAAAGTATTTGTCTTACAAATTTTAGTTATCGGGTTATAAGAAAATTTAACAAACAAGACACCAAGCCACCAACACAATTGAATTATGAGTATACATAAAATGATAGGATCGGAATAAAACAGACACCAATTGTTTTTATAATCCTAATCTAAAGCCACCAACACAGGGTGCTGACTGTGCCACAATAAATATTTTTACTTAAAAGATTGACTCCTTAAGTAACACTTTGATTCCTTTGTCTCAAGTTGGTAGAAACATTAAAAATTAGTATGTGTGTTTGTGTTTTTTTGTATTATGATCATGGATATTTTCACTAGTTAATCTCGTCCTCAATTTGGTCGAAAAACTATGAAATTCATATGAATAATTCCTTATTTGGTTTTAAGTTTTGAATTTAAAATGACCAGTCTATTTTCGCCTCTATTTGGATTAAAAAAATTAGGTTGTGAGATAGTCAATTGTACGGTGGGGGTTGTTCCACGTTAGATAGTCAACGGCTTATCGTCATCCAGTCATGTTCAAGTGGGTCATTTAGGCATAGTTTGAAAAAAAAAAAAATTTAGAATCTTCAAAGGAACATAACTAACACTTGCAAAACACATTGCTAGTTGTGGAAAACGGGTCCCATATGTTTAGCTTTGACCCACCACATGTGTTTGGAACTTTCATACTCCATCTACATTTATTTAAATGTGCCTATTATATAGGAGAAACTTTCGATATTAAAGAATAAAATATATAATTTATGATTTGAAGTTTTGAACAAGTTAAAGCTACAAGTTAATGGGTCCAATTTGTTAACATCATAACTTCTTAGTTTTTTTCGTTCATAATCAAGGGTGTTCGGGTCTACTTATGCACACCTCGATTATTCTCTTTTTGTTCCGATCAAAAATAGTTCATCCACGTCGAGATTAAGATATTCAATTACTTATATCACTTTATAAGAAATTTATGTGAATTTCTATATCGATAATGCTTTTGTATCATGTATGGGATCCCTTATATTCCATTACTTCAATTACTTATATCACTTATATGAAATTTATGTGAATTTCAATATCGTTAATACTTTTGAATCATATTTGTCGATTCTTAATTTGGTTCGATTCATCCTTTTTAAATTTTCAGGCAAATACAAAAAATGTAAAAGCCCCAACCCACATGTATGGGATCCTTTGGTTCAAAACACACACACACACATATATATATATAGAGAGAGAGAGAGGGAGTTCACATTAAGAACTCACTTGTGTCACTCAATGGACTAACACAAAGAAAGCACATGGGCACCAAAGCCCTATTGTGGTAGGTTAGATTTCTTTAAGTGTGATTAATTTATTAATTATGCTTGTTAGGCAAAGAACAAAAACCTAATCATATCCATGATTGGTCTCATGTGTTGCCACGTCACTAGGGTTCTACATCACGTGTATCCATGATCGTATCCTCAATCCTAGATATAAGTAGGACCAACGATGATTAAATTAATTTTCATGCTTTTAAGTAAAGTGATTTTCTTTTATTGATTAAAAGTGTTGTTTATCTTAAATAGTACAATTGATGTAGGATCTTACTAATGACATTTTATTTTAGGATAAAGTTTTTGAAAAAATTTTACGTGTTTTAATTTAAAGATAACATGATTAACAAATTAATCGGGTTACTATCAAAATGTTTTTCTATATCATTTAAACATAGAGGTCTTCCCTCCATTTTTTTAATTTTTTTTTTCTTTTTCTAAGATTTTAATTTCCCTCTATTTTATTATCAAAATGTTTTTCTTTAACATTCAAACAAGATTTTCTCTAATCAAAATCTTTAAGAATCATACATTTTAAAATATTATATATCTAAATTTATTTCATGTTTATAATAATGATTACCAGCACATGACGAAATTATAAGATTTTGGGACTTTTTTAAATTATTTATTTTATAAAAGAGTAAATCTAACACAACCTCGCATGACATGACAAAATTAATTAATGAATTGAGTATAAATAAAAAAAATATATAACACGAACTCAATATTATAATATTCGTTATATATAAATTAATAATAAATTAAATACGAATAAAATAATTTTTTAACATGAATTTAATAATACTCCAGACAAATCCGCCTAACTCAACCACTCATGGGTAAAAGGAAACAGGCTGGCCTAGTAGATCTTTCGGCCCCCTAGACTAAAGCTTTCAAAGCGGCCACACAGAAGCTCAAGCTCAGGCCCATTTAATGCAAGCCTACGCCTAGTGCTTGTCAGCCCTGCAACTAGGTTTTGATCATCAAACCCTCACTTTGCATTTGTTATTATTATTATTATTATTTTAATTTTATCC